ATTTACCTAGTGTGTAGACAATGGGCAAAGAAAGATAACTCTGACTTGTAAGTGAGAATAGAACTTTCGAGATAAAGGCGGAAATAGTATCGATGACGTCAGGGACATATACACTCTCCATATCAAAATATTTAGACGTTCTATATTCACTCTTCAAAATTTAAGAGTACGTTGGTTACCGCTTCCACTGCATGTAAAGTTTGAAGTTGCCAGTGTAGTGTAAGTCTGTATTGACAGTTAATTGATTTACACATGAATATATGTAAAAAAAAATTACTATATCTGCTAGGTATGTAATTCAAGTAAATATATTATAAGCACTGAATATACATTTATAGTGATGGACAGGCATGCAATTTATCTATCTCGTATAGTAAGTTCGGAATAAGATAGTTACTAAGCCTTCTATAATGCAGACGATTTATTATTCTCTATGATTTGAATGCGAAATTATCCCGATTTCCGAGTTTTATTTTCGATATTAAAAAATATTAAGTACACTTAAAAAGGAACTGAGCGATAGAAATTTGTAATACAGACTGTATTAAAGCCTTTGGAAATAAATTGATATTTGTCACTTAAAAGAAAGAAAATCAGTATATACATGTAGATTAGATTTGGTTATTACATGTATTTTTGATAAAAAGTTAAATTATTTATGTCACATGATCTATATTCTATATACCCAAGGAGTTATAAAAGATGTGAAAAGGCGATTCTTGGATTCTTGTCAAATACTCCAGAGTTAAAAAAAATATGTGAAAATGCGATTCTGTGTGAAATAATGCTACTCTGTATGTTTCTTTTGAGAAAAAAAAACATGATAAAAAAATTGCACAGGTCCTGTTGATATGTGGGATAAGTATATACATGTACCTGAATGAACACAATTTTATGTAATGATATATAATTATGTACATGCAACTGACGTCCGTACTTTTCCTTATAATTCATAAATTTATAATGCAACTATCTAATTCCTTTGAAGCCCCCCCCCCCCGTCTTGATTAATATTTGGAGACGTTCGTGCAGCTAGGCATTTGAATTATATATTCGTTTTAGATTTAAATCTGGAACATGTGAATATAATTACCATTTACATGTATACAGAATTTCATATTCTATAATGGTAGATTTGTCATTATGAAATGTTCAATTTACGTCTGAGAGAGAGAGGGGGAGAGAGAGAGATTCCCTCTTAATCCCGATCCTCCTATTTACATAGACCAAAAATTAGTTCTATATCAGTCACACCCATTCTTTATTAAATGTTTTCTGATTTCATAGTCAGTCATGGTCACATTCTGTATATTTTTCTGCTTAAAAAGTATCGCACGAAGTGCACGTGTGTTGACCTGTCAATCAAGATCACCCGCGCTGTCTGCACTGCAATAAAATAGCCTGAGTTCGAAATGATCTTGAAGTATGATCTTTAAGTAAATCCAATGCAACAAACTTGTGAAAAAATAAAATAAAATAAAATAAATAAAATATCTCGGTATTATAAACTTCGATTGTGGGACGTGGAGACCGGTCCTTTGGATCCTTTAAATCGAGGTCCCGTGTCGCAGAAGGTGCTGGCACAAAAAAGATTCCTCACTGATCAATGGCGATAAGTGCCAAAGTATAGGACAAAAATTTGCAGTCTCCACCGGCGAGTGCTGGCGTCTCCATGTGAGTGATAAATTCTCGAGAGGGACGTTAAAGAACAAACAAACAAACAAAAAATCAAATTTAAGAATTTATCATATATACACCCGTAGTTGGTGCATCACTTTTATTTAAACTTTGGAAGGATGACCAAGAAAAATTTAATTAGAAATTTTAATGGACTAAGCAAACAACCTACTCATTGTTAACACTTTGACCTGTTTCAAAGAAAGTGGGTCCCAACAGTAACGCACTAAAATCACTTGACTCTAACACAGATTTAGTGTTTCGGTGGTACAATACGAGGCTTATATTAGAATTTTAAATAGGTAATTAATTAGCTGTGAATTTGCCATCATCGGAAAGACGTGTTACTGACTAAACATTTAATACAAGTATGAAAACGGGCATCTCCAGCATACGTTTGAATTCTACATATCATTCACATGAATAGAATGGATTGATCATAACACGAGAGCGTTTGATTATCTAATACGCTAAATGTTTTTCTTGTCATATAATGTGAGGATTTGACCAGTGTGATAAATGGGCCAAATGATTCTAAGAGAAGAAGATGAATAGTCAATCAATCAATCAATCAATCAATCGATTGCTGAATAATTATTGTAATTGAATAATCTTTCTTATAGGTATGCTGTCAAATCTTAATAAACAGCTGTAATATTATATTCAAAACTCAGTGACTTTACGTTTAATTTGATACTAACTTAATTCATTATATTTTTTTATAACACCATCACAATTATGCCAGAACATATACACAGTAAAGTTTATGATAGTACGGTGTTCGTTCGTCTGTTTGTTTGTCTTAGAATTGATTGCAAACATTTTTTTTAAATGCTAATTATCCTTGCTCTATGATATACGTAAATATCTCATAGGTGCCAAATGCATTATACAAGATTGATCATGAAAATCAAAGTACCTTAAGTACTGAAAGGACTTTCCTCCAGTTATTTATTTCTTTCACAGTAAATATGATATGTATGTTTTTTACACAGAAAAAAGCAAATTCTTACAGATTTAGTAGAACGGAAGACTTTTTTGTTGCCATGCCAACAAGAGTCTAGTTATTATTATTTTTCTTCCTGGGTACTTTTTTGTCCGTGAGTGATCTCCGAAACTACACGTCCGACTGAGGTGAAACCTTTTTAGGGTTACTAGGCATGTTATGTAGATTTGCGGAACGAAGGTCATTTTGCGCGCACGCGCATGCACGTGCGTGCGCGTGCAATGCGTAAAATGACCAATATACTTGATATAGCTGTAACTTTTATATTTTTTGATAAAATGCTTTGATACTCAGAATATAAGGATATATTAAAAGTATGAACAAGATGACATGGTCAACATGCACATGCATGCACGTGCGCGCACGCGCAAAGCGTAAAATGACCAATTTACTTGATATAGTTGTAACTTTGAAATTTTTTGATGAAATGCTTTGATACTCAAAATATTTATATGTATTTAAAGTGTAGACAAGACGACATGATCATCATGCACATGCATGCACGTGCGCGCGCATGCAATGTGTTAAATGACCAATTTTCTTAATATAGCCGTACTTTTTATATTTTTTGATTAAAAGCTTTGATATTAAGAATATACAGATATATTTAAAGTGTAGACAAGATGATGTGGCCATCATGCACATGCATGCACATGCGCGCGCGTGCAATGTGTTTAATGACCAATATACTTAATATAGCCGTAACTTTTATATTTTTTGATGAAAAGCTTTGATACTAAGAATAAACAGACATATTATAAGTGTAGACAAAATGGCATGGTCATTATGAACATGCATACAGGTGCGCGTGCGCGCAATTCTAAGATGACCAATATACTTGATATAGCCGGAACTTATATATTTTTTGATGAAATGTTTTGATACTGAGAATATAAAGATGCATTTATAGTATAGACGGAATGACATGGTCAACCTGCACATGCATGCACGTGCGCGCGCGTGAAATGCGTTAAATGACCAATATACTTAATTGCCTTATTTAATGAAGCTTACAGGAAATAAGACACCAAAAGGGAGTTGGGGAGCGTTTGGGGAACATCTGTAACGGTCCCCGTTACAATTAATACTAGTTACTTTGTAAAATAACATTCTGATTGTACATAAAAGTACTCTGAAATAGATATGAAAAAGATGTTCGAGTTTCTGATTGAGAATACCTTTGACGTTTTTGGAGATCAGGTCTTGCAACAATCTATCGGATTTTCATCGATACCAATTGTGCCCCGTTATTAGCAGATTTATTTTTGTATTCATATGAAGCAGAATTTATTAAAAAACTGAATACACTTGCTGTGGCCTTTAGCTCGACATTAAAATATATCGACGACGTAATATCAATTAAGAAATATGAATAGTACTCCCATTTATATGTGGACTCGATAAATCCCAGTGAACTTGAAATGAAAGATACTACAGAGTCTGATACATCTTATCTAACTAGAAAAAGACGGCAATCGTAACGTAACAACAAAACTTTCTGATAAACGTGAGTTCAACTTTTCTATCGTCAACTTCCCTTACTTATGTAGCAATATACACTTTTCTTTGCATATGGGGTATCTTCCAGTTGATTCGATACACAAGAGCATGCTTTCACGTTCGAACAAATTCTGAAAACGAGGCAAGCTATTGACAAACAAGTTGATGAAATAAAGGATATCAACAGTCTCGTTAAAAGTCATCATTTCGCAAGTTCTAAGGTCATTATAGTGACCTTGTCAGCAAACACGATCTAATGTAAGTCGAATTTCATACTTATTGTTATGCCATTGTTTAAAAAAAATGTTTTTTTCCGTTTGCCCCGATCAGGACAATGAGCACACGGCGAATGTGACCGGTCGACATGGAATGCTTACTCCTTCTCGTATCAACTGACCAATTTTACAAGAAAAAGAAGGGGTTACAGTTGGGACCAGCTGCATCTTCAATACCTCAGTTGTACCTAAACTTTACGAAATAATTCTATTATACAGCATATTTACCAACATCGTTTACAAATCGTAGCTTGGTGTTAATGAAAGATTAATTTTTGATCCCATTTAGCACAAAGCGCAAGTTTCTCTGCCCGTCCAAATAAAGTACTTTCTCTTAATACTAGTACGTGTATAGAAATACCTCTATATTTCGCTAAAACTTAAGCAATGAATGCTTTCTTTTAAAAAGTATTTTCCCGTGTATTAATTTCTTTTAAAGAGTATTTTCACATGTATTAATTTAAACTGTTCAAGAAGGATTGTTCATTGAAGCAAGCGGGTTTCCCTACACATTGCTCCATGGAGATAAAGGCGTCAAGAAGCAAATATCAAATTTTTATTTCAGAAGAACATTACATGTACCTTAATAACTTTACAATATAAATATACCATAGTCATAAATACAAAAGAAATGCTGAAGAAACATCTTTTTTTAACTTTAAGCATACAAATCACTTGTTTAACGAAAATAAAAACACATAGGGACTTTTATTTATTGATTGTCCTTCCGTGCATAGAGCTAAAAAGAGAGAAATATCATATTGGACCAGAATTTGAATTTGTAAAAGTATATCTAGTCGTAACAAAGTGTGCAGGAAATATACTGGGACTTTTTTGTGAAAATAAAACGCTGTATCACAGACAAAAAAAAATTCTTCAAAAATAAACTGGACGGAATGTTTTCATAAATTCTGGTCCCTCTGGCATTTGGACGCACAAGTCTACACGACTTGTTGATAATGTGCCATTAGATCCTACAAGTTCAATACTCTGAATTCCGAATAATAACAATGTGTAAATGATATGACGTTTTAAATAACCGAATGGTTTGATATGGATAAATAATCTATGACAAAAATATAATACTCTATCTTACTCCATGACGAAAAACAAAAATATATCAATTTGTTTCAAACAACAATTACTGCGGGTGTTATGGGTATAATACAATATGTAATATGGAAAATATCGATAAAAATAGGGCAATAGGTTGAGCATTTGTGATCCAACCAAGAGACGGGGACTATATACATATCACAGTTCACATTAAATATTCTGTATAATGGTCATCTACAAAGTTGTTATGGGAACATGTAAATATGATAGGTAAGAGATATCTACACAATGCTACAATTTTATCTTCCTCCTCTATGTTGGATTTTAATTCCTTTCTCCGTCCAAGCACACCAACATAACTCTATACTTTGCCACTCAAAATCGGTTTATAAATAAAGTCTTGTACACTAATACAAATCATGCAATTATATATACTGAGTAGGGTTAGTAAATAAAAACAATGAAATTCTCTGGAAGTCATGGTGATAATATCCCAGCAACCAATGAAAATCCTCCTGTCACCTCATTTCTGCAAAAGAAGCAAATGGTGTGATAATTCATGCGCATGCCCATTCAACATTTACCAGTACGTATGCAGTCAAAACAGAAGTTCTTTTTCTTGCGTTCAGTATCAAAATTTTGCTGTGTATTAGTTGGATTTTTAACGCTTTTAGCATAGCCAGATTTCTAATTAATTCAATAAATTTTTTAACTAATTGAAAAAGAACTTCAGCATTAAATAAGCAAGACAAACAAAGAAATGCACACATATTAATGCAAAAGCCTGCACCATAGAAACTCAGTGTAAGATCTACTGCACCATTCACAATTACGAGGTCAGACAGACAAATAATCTGTTACTTGTCATCAGGTTATTTGTACTTCAGAAGCTGTTAATTTTCATGTTAGCTATACAGTCATGCCAACCTATCATCTCTTGGAATGTTTTTGTGTATAAAAACACACAGTAAATACATAAAGCTATACTTGACAATGTTCCCCAATAACAAAACTCTGTACTAATTAGTCTTATCCCCTCCTGCTGTTGGGCCAGTATTGCCCTCTTGAGAGGCAGACTGGTCTATCTGACCTGCTGCCGCCGGAGGTTTGTTAGAATCAGCAGTATTTGGGGGTTTATCTCCCTTTTGAGCGCTATCTTCGGTTTTCTGAGTAGTTGGTTTGTTTGAATCAGCGGTATTTGGGGGTTTATCTCCCTTTTGAGCACTGCTATCAGTTTCCTGATTTGCAGGAGCTTTGCTAGAATCAGCGGTATTGGGAGGTTTGTCTCCCTTTTTAGCGCTTTCAGGTTTCTTATTTGCATTATCTCCCTTTGGGGCAGTCTGATCACTTTGAGTGGGTGCAGGGGGGTTGTTCTGTGCAGGAGGTGCATTTGGTTGCTTTTGATCTTGTTGTGCATTTGCCTTGTCATCCTGTCAACAATAAAATAAAAGCATTCATTTAAAATTATTTCAAGTTAGTCAATTTTGCTTCGAATTTTTCATTAAATATATTTCAATTATTGATTTTTTTAAAATAAATATTAAAGCATGTAACTAATATTTGCACTCTAAATGTATTAGCTTTTATCTATTTCAAATGCTTTCTATAGCAGATATTCCTTGCATTGAAAAAAATTTCCTGAAACTTAGACAGACATTTAAAAACTTCTTATCAGTTTTCCATAATTTTAAATGATTTACATTCTAAATTCTGATATTTGAATTAATTGACAAAAATATAAGAAATGTTTATCAAACATTATCTTAAATGATAAAGAGGAAAAATTTGCATGCATAAATAACATTAACAAAGGTACATTTTTCAGTCATTTGAAATCTTGACAATGGATGACACACAATAAGCAGATGATGCTAAAGTGCAGAACACACACTGGACATACCAACCACACTAGTGACAGATTCCCATGGCAAAAGGTGGGTATAAAAGGTCATTAAAACGACCCCAAAGTGACTTTCCACACTCTTATCAGTACAGCAGAAAATGTTTTAAAATTCTACAGAAATATGTCAAATATACTGTACAAAAAATCATTTTAAACACAATAATGCACAATACTAACAAGTGGAAATATCTATGGGTAAACATTGATATCAAACATAAAATACTCCAATACAACAAATGACATTTATTAAAACATTTTTAAACATTTATCCAATTGTCAAATTGAAAACTTTTATGTGCATAGTTCATAATAAAGGAGATATGACAAGAACTACTTTAAAATCACATATTTTCGAGGGGTCAAATTTTCGTGGTATGAGGGGGAAATATGGGTTTGAATTTGATTTTGTGGATGAAGAATTATTGATTGGTAATATATATGAAAAATTATATTTCGCACTGGACATAAATTCAATGATCTCTTCAAACCTCAAAAACAACGAAAATTAAACCCTCATGAAAATGAGTGATTTTACAGTAATTTGTAACACCATTACTCAAAAGCAATTTGCAGTGTGTCATGCCATATTTTTACCAACATATTAGTTGCTAAATCTAAATTAAATATGGGTTACAAAGACATTGCTATACATGCTGTTAAATAACACTAACATTTCTGTATCATTCATGCCATATAACAATATACATGCAACACTTTCATTTCAATAAATGTATTTTTTCCACATTTTAATATACATATTAAAAAAAATTGTCAACAGACTACAATTAATTTTTCTAAAATTTATTATTAACCTACACCAAATTACAGAGCAAATCATGATCTAAGATAATTTTGTGGACTACAGTAAACTACTGCTAGTAAATAAGCAACTAATATGCAGGTTGTCTACAGGCGAACTACTATGTACATGTATACCACTGCCATTCTACCCAATATCCAATACGAGTCCAATTAAAGTACCTCCAAATTATTACCTTCCTTAGATCATGATTGCTTCTGAAATATATAGTTATGCTGGTAAGACAAAATTCATATTCAGCAACTTTTATTTATACATATATGTATATAAAAAAAAGCCTGGAATTAACAAAAGGCTTTACAAGCTCATGCAATCTACAAAATATCATAGTAAAATTACAACAGTCAGGATTTTAAGTATTATTCAAGTCCAATTTTAAGTTAAGTTTGTGCATATGTTGCAGAAAAAACAGGGTGCTATTTGCAATCAAAATATCTCCCAAAAAAATGACAATGGAACAAATCAATATAAAATTCATGTAAAACTGTTTTCTGTAAAGGCCTTTACTAACCTAAAATACAAAAAATTTTGAAAGCAATTTGCATATTCTTAATTTTTCTGTTTCACATTTGAGTACGGCTGTCAATAGCATCTATGTCAGATCTACTTTCTCTTTTGATAGGGATAGGTACATCTTGAGAAGGGGTAGGGTGGGGAATGATGGACCCTTTAATGCCCCTGATAGTGATAGATCTACCCTGAATTGTCCTTCCATCCCCATCATCACTAAGAACAGGGGTCCCACTGCTGATTCTATACCTATCTGAAATAACGGTACTTATTTGTCGAGAATCCATAGAGTCTTCATTGACCTTTTCCTGAAATTTATTTTCATTTTCAATTGTCTTAACCCTGGCCTTGTTTCCATCCCCATCATCACTGAATAATGTATGGCCTGAACTTACTCTGGGACTTTTTGAATTACCAGCATTTCTTTCTTTGTACTCATTCTTATCTCCACCAACATTCACTTCCTCTCTCTTACAATCATGGGTTCTTTTTATACTCCCATCCCCATCATCATTTGCTGATTCATCACCACTGTTTACCAATAAATCAACAGCAATATTTTTTCTATCTTTTTCTTCCCCTTTAACACCTGTAACCCCTTCATCAACATATAACACTGGATTACTACTGTTGATTTTAGAGCTCCCTGAAGTAACAGCAGACATCTGCCTGGGCCTGTTCATGTCTGATTTTTGCAATCCTCTCTCATCAACAATTTCTCCAGTCTTCATACTAACTCTCATTCTACTACCATTGCCATCATCACTAAATACAATTTTTCCACTATTGGATCTGTTGGAATTTACAGTACTGCTACACCTAGATCTTAAAATTTGTTCTTCAATGGGGATTTCTTCTGCAGTTTTTACTCTAACATTCTCTCCAGTTTCAATCTCCTTGTCAAATTTCAAATCATTCTCACTTCTACTTCTACTTACATTTCCCAAAAAGTTTGTATCATCTGTTCTGACACTATTTCCGTTAGAACTCACCTCTCCTTCACTTGTATTTGGCTTTACCATCTTCCCCATTTCATTCTCTTTCATTTCATTTCCTTTGAGGTCTTTCATTTTCTCACTCTCATTCATTTTGTTTACACTATTCCCATCTTGCTTTCTTACTAAGCCTGCAGATTTATTTTCATTCTTTCTTTCCCCAGACAGGTCAAACGAGACCTGCTTACTACCTAGATTTGAAGAGCCCTTTTTAGTTTCTCCCTCAGTAAGTTTTTCCTTTGATGCATATTTAGCCACAGTTTCTAAAGTTTCATGTGAAGCTTTTCTCCCACTAAATTCCTCATTGTCCTTAAACAAGTCAGAGTTATCAAAGTACAGAGATCTACTGACACTTGACTGAGATCTTGACTGTATGCTTGGTAGACTCTCAAAATCAGGATCATTGGCAATTAAACTTGTTCTCATTCTTCTTGGGAATGAAAAGGCAACCATTTTCTGTGAAAAAGCCTGCCCCTCCATTCCTTTGCAGTGGACAATTTCTGTTTTTGATCTAAATATCAAAGGAGTTGGAAGAATAGGTAAAGTTCTTTTCAGTTCCAAAGATTTTGGACGTTTTGTTCTATTTCTGTATGAAATGTCAAACAAATGGCTATCCAAGTAATCTAAGGAGATGGACTTTGAATCTTTGTCTTGTGATGTGATGACAAGGCTCGTTTCATGGACAACCCTCACTGGGCCTCTGAGTTTCCTCTGAAATTGCCCATCTTTAGATCTGTTATTTTTGTCATCAATGAATTCAGCTGTGTTATCATTTAATTCTTTATGTCCACTTATTTTAACTTCTTGAGTACACATTCCTGTTGTTGCTGAATTCGTAGAACCTTCTCTTGAAGTTAGTGTTGAGATGCTTCTTCCATCACCATCATCAGTTCTCAATACCGAGTTTCTTTCTCCCCCCATAACATACCCACCACTTTCTTGCCCACTTTCAAAATACACACAACTTTCATTCTTTCCCTCTTTTCCCTGCTCTTGTGCATCACTCTCTCTTTCTCTTTCACAATTTCTTAGACTTTTAGTGTCATCCAGGTCACATTCAATACTGTCAACATCTGGTTTTATGTCACTTTGACTACATCTCATCAATGAAGTTGTTAAGGATTGATCTGGTGCTTCTGTGCTTATACTGTCTTTCCTCTCCTCCTGATTTATACTAAATGTACCTGAATTTAGAATGTCACTGTTACTTTTCTTTGCACCTTGTAGAATTATTTTATCCCTACATGAAATCTGCCAAATCCCATCTTGAGGCATCCATTTCTCCACTTCTGGATTAGAAGTTCTTGTAACAATACCTCTTGATGCTGACTGTAGTAATGTTATATTCACATCTCTCTGTATTATTTGAGGAACAGTCATCTGTCTCTTCATTGTTTCATTTGAGTAGCTACTAATTATATTCTGTACAAGAGGCTTTGGAGACTCATCCACTGGAGGAGAGAATGATGGAGAAGAGTAGGAAGCTTCATCAAAAGTACCTTCTTTGATTTTCAGGACACCTTTAAAACTAGCTTGTAAAACGGTTATGTTTTTGTCATGCTCGAAATGTGTCTTTGCAGTTCTTGCCCTCTTTCTATACTGATATCCTTTGTAATATGCCTGAATTTTGGAAGCTGCTTTTTGCTTGATGTCCATGATGTCATCAACATTAATATCTTCTTCATCAGTTTCATGTGAGACTTCAGACAAAGCTGGAGTTACTCCTGTCTCATTTTTTGTACTTACCTCCTCATTTTCAGTCAAGGACACATAATTAAATACCTCTGGAACAGACTTTCCAGCATTACTATCTAACCTGTCTACAGACCTATATTTTCTTACAATGAATCCTCTGTAATGTGCCTGAATTTTAGTTGCTGCCATGTCCTGTTCATATTGTTTCATTGCCAGGGGCCTAACCCCACGGTTTTTGATGCAGGATCCTGCAGATTGTCTTTGTTCAAATGATGCACAACTCCTACCATCACCATCATCTCTGAAAGCAGAAAAATTCTGACTACTGGTACTTTTTTGTTTTTCCTTGCTATCTGAAATTCTACTCAATGTCCTCATGCTATGTAGACTTCTTCCATCTCCATCATCAAGTTCTGTTTTTTGTGAGTTGTTGACTTTATCCTTGTTGTCCTTAACATTTTTTTCAATTTGTTTTGGCAGCTCTTCTTCTTGGATGGCAAGTTTGTCATTTCCTTTACCTTCTGGTACACTCATCATGATTTCTTGCAAGTTGTCTAGATTTTGAGACTCAAGAAATTTTTCTTCCACATGTACATCTGTGCTATCTACTGTTTCATTATAACCTTTTCCATCTCCGTCATCTTTGTTCAAAATATCTTTGGTGTTTATATCCTCACTGTTTTGTTCTTCTAGAACTTTCTTTCTAAGTGTGTACCCTCTGTAGGCTGCTCTTTCCATTTCAAGTTCCTTGTCCTTTGAGATATCTGTCTTTTCAACATTGTTCAACAATCTTTTTCTGGTTTGGAATGACCTGAATGCACATTGAATTTTTAATGCTGCATGATCTTTTTCGATGTCCATGTTTTCCAAATTCTTATTATGTTTTTCATGAAAAATTTCCTGTCGAGCTTTTACACAACTTGCACTTGTTTGACATGGCATATTGTCAAATTCAACCTCCTTTTCTGTCAAATCATCAACAATTTTCCTTCCATCTCCATCATCCATTCTACATGACTCCAGTGTTCCTTTTTGTAAAACTTCTTTATTGATTGCAGACTTTCCATTCTCACCCTCCAGAGTAAAGCCCTCAGACTTTATAATTCCTAGTTGTTTCCTTAACAGATGTCCATGAAACCCTGCCTGTATCACAAGCACAGCATTATTTTGTAAACGTTCACTTTCACTTAAAGACACTATACAACCTCTGTCATGTGTTAAAGGATCACAAGGTGCATCATTCTTTAAATTCTGCCTCAAAGATTTTCTTGCACAATAGCCTCTGTAGCTGGACTGTATTTTTAAGGCAGCACTCTGCTGAACACTTCGATTTTTGTCCACAACATTGTCCATTTTAATTGAAGAATCCAAGGTATTGCTTACATCCTCCTGAAGGAGACTTTTTCCATCACCATCATCTCTAAGGAGCACATTTGCATTCCTCTGTCCATCCCCATCATCTTTTTTCTGAATTGGTGAAATAGGCACAGTTAAAATACTTGCACCATCTCCTGCATGCCGTTCCTGTTCTTTAGTTGGAGAATTCATCAAAACAAGTTCTTTCTCCAAAGCAGCAGAAGCAATGTTTGATACAGTACCATCATGATCTGATGAGGTGTTATCATTTGGTTCATGTTCATCAAACACAATGGAAATACTCTTTCCATCCCCATCATCTCTCCTTTTGATATTTTTCAAATTTGCCAAATTTCCAGTTGGAACTCTGTCCACAGTCTGCATGAACCTTCTGATTTGTAAACAACTCTTTATATTTACTTGTAGGAATGTTATAGCTTCAAAATGTTTTGCATCACTGATGTAGCGATGCTTGCCTGATTTTCCTCTTTGTTTTGTAGGATACTGACTAAAATCATTCAGTTTTCCATCCTCTCCAATTCTAACACTATTGTGCGAATCATCCTTTGTCAAGCATGGGGGAACCAACGTCTTTTTGAAGCTTTCTCGTACCTTCATTCCCCTATACCCTGCTTGTATCTTCATCACTGCTGTCTCCTTCTCTTCCATGGACTTAAATATAGTGAAAACTTCTTCCTGTGCCAAGGATCTTGCCTGAAGGATTTCTTTTCTGAGCAATCGGGTTTTCAGTGTCAATCTTGTAAGAAACATCCTAAAGTTTGATTGGAGAAAAGTTGAATCCTTCACAACTTTATTCTTTTTATGCCTATCTTTATTGTGTGAATCATCTTTCATCAAGCTCGGGGGAATCAACATTTTTTTAAAGCTTTCTCGTTCCTTCATTCCCCTATACCCTGCTTGTATCTTCATCACTGCTGTCTCCTTCTCTTCCATGGACTTGAATATATTAAAAACTTCTTCCTGTGCCAAGGATCTTGCCTGAAGGATATCTTTTCTGAGCAATCGGGTTTTCAGTGTCAATCTTGTAAGAAACATCCTAAAGTTTGATTGGATAAAAGTCCAATCCTTCACAATTTTATTCTTTTTCTGCTTACTTTTGTTCTGTACTGTAACATATTCTTTGCAACTACTCTGTACTATTGTAAGAGAACTTAATTTCTGACTATTCCATTCAGACATATTTTTCAAAAGAATCTCATGTTCTTTGGTCTTTTCTTTCTGCAAACTAAAAAGAGTAACTACACTTTTGCTTGCACTTTGAATTAAACTGACAGCTTTCTCCCTCCTCTCACCCCTCATTCTAATCTCTCTCTCTTTCATCAATCTTTCATTTTCCTTCTGAGCCTTTCTTGCAAGGGTTGCCCTAAAGGAAGCTTGGAGAAAAGTAACAAACCCATTGAATATTTTTTTAGCTTTGAATTTTGCCACATCCACACTATCTCCTTCATCAAATTCTATATCTCTTTGAGAAAAACCAGACCAACTCCTTGACCCCAAAGACAAACAAGATGCTGATGACAACCTAAAATTTTGCTTTAAAAAGGCTTTTACACAGACCTGAATATCAGTAACAGCTTTACGCCTTCGTTCAATTAATTTTATTTCATTTTCTTCATCTTCTATTTCAGTGTCATTTCTATTAATGAGATAATTTGATGATTTAGATTTAACAGACTTAACAACAACTGCAGATGGTGCTCCTGGGTAACATACCTGTTGATTTAATTGTTTTCTAGTTTGATGACCTCGAAAGCCAGCTTGGATTTTGGTTGCAGCTTTTTCCTCTTCCTCGTTATACTGATTAGTCTTGGTGGCAGGTGCTTGGTTCTTTTTCAGTTCTTCTCTTGTCTTGTGGCCTCTGTAGTTGGCTTGGATCTTGGTTGCAGCATGATTTAACTCCTCTTCTTCTGCTTTCTTCTCTGCTAATTCCTTTCTTGTTTTGTGTCCTCTGAATCCAGCCTGTATTTTTGTTGCTGCTTTGTCCTCTTCACTCTGTTTCTGGCCTCGTTTGGAAGTCGTCTTACCTGTATTAACTGAAGAGTTTTTAGCATCCTTTACCTGTTGATTTCCCTGTTGTTTCTTAAGTTCTTGGCGAGTTTTGTGTCCTCGGAATCCTGCTTGAATTTTCGTTGCTGCTTCATCTTCTTTCATTTCTGTGTTTTTGGTATCTGCTTTCGTTTTCTGATCCGGTTTCTTATCATCCTTTTTGGTATCTGCTGGTTTATTCAGAGCATCTTTTTTGTTGACATCTTCTTTCTGTTTGGCAAGTTCTTGCCTTGTTTTATGGCCTCTGTAATTTGCTTGTATTTTTGCTGCAGCCTGCACAAATAGTATATGAACAGTTACTCAACACTTTTCTTTCAATACTGTAGTCTGTAATATTAATCTTTGCCATAGTTCTATAAATATGACAAAAAATTAGAAATGAATATTTCAATCAAAACATTTTTCTTTCATTACTTTAGTCTGTAGCATTCATCTTTAACACAATTCTATAAATATGAAACAAACAGCATGGAATATTTACTCCGATACTTTTCTCTCATTCCTATTGTCTGTAACATTCATCTTTACTATAATTCTATGAAAATGAAAATTTGTCCTTTACCTGATCTTTCTCTTTTTGAGTGGGAGACATTTTACCATCTTGTCCTATAGGGGTGGAGGACCTGTTTTGTTGCCCTATGTCGGGGAGAGGAGACACATTGTTGAACTCTCCTCTTGTTCCTGAATGTTTTTTAGGGGCAGGATCCTTCGAACCATGTGAATGGTCAGCTGTTTTCTGATTTGTATTAGATTTATTGTTGTTGTTGCTGTTTGTTTTGCTGTTGGTTTTTTGGGTTGTTTCCTAATGTAAAATTGGATGGAATTTATTGCAAGATGCTATAAAGTTTTAAAATTGTGTATGATTCAATCTCATGCCAAGGGTTTTGTATTTCTTGGAAAGAGGGCTGGAGTACAACTGCTCCATTTTCTGTTTTGCCTTTTTTCTGTATCTACATCACTTCAACACCAAGCATATTAGTAGCTAACTACTTCAAACAAATCTGCAGCAAACAAGAATTAAGGATGTGTTAAGTCAAGATAAATTCAGCTTTGACAGGATGAAGAAAATTTCACCACTGATAAATTCAAAGATTCACTATAAAACAAAAGAAAAATACCTCTCATTACTAACTCTAAAAAAAACTTAAAACAATTTATCTTAAGACTGAAATATTATTTTCTATGCGTAGAATTGAAATATATACCTACAAAGGCACTAATTCAGGTACTTAATTTAAGTAATCCTTTTACAATAATAAATCTGATAAGTTATCAAGTTCATGTTCTTAATCCTTTCTTAACCCAGAAATGGAAAAAATGGAATGATCTCTTAAAATTTTAAATACATTCTAGATATAATACAAAAAATACACTAGCATATCAAAACTCATTCTCACCCAACACCAAAATCAAAAGTAGAAAAGTTAGAACTACAGCATTAATTCTAGCTATTACTCTTCACACAAATTATGGTAAATATTTTGTAAGCATCCATTATCTTTTCCTTTTCACACACCCTCAATAATTATTTTCTACAGGAAATTCTTCACAAGAAAATCACTGTAAAATCCTGAATTCAATTTGACAATTTTTTCCCAAAAACTGAAAAGGCAAAAATGTTGGGCTTACATTTAACAGATAAATGTTTAAACTATTCATGCTTATAACTGAACAAAGCAAATTGAATTCAGAACTTTAAGAAAAGGTGACATATTGATTCACTTTTTCATGCAATGAGTCCTCACCACTTAGTAGTTAAACTGTTTGAAAAACACTTACAGGAAAATCATGCAAAATTGTCTCCCCTTCCAAAAAATCTGGTATTGATATTTTATGGATATTGCAATGTTGTATGCATGCAAGAAAAGAGAAGTAAGCAAGTACTGAATGCAAACAGAAGAAATTAAAGCTATCAGACCCAGGTATAAAAGAAAATTGAATTTCCTTTCACCTCTAAGGCATGCACAATGTTCCGGGAAACCATGCAAAGGGGGAGAAACTAGGTACTATCATGCATTTCATGCAAACCAACATTTAGGTTTCTGGCCAAGGGCAGTAGTGGATGTAGTAATGAAAAACTAACTACATCAAAGTCTTAGATATTTTTATTGATTCAATAAAAATTCATGCAATGTTACTGTTCTATGACATGCATACATTTGGTTTACACTGCATATCACTGAAGTAACCCATTGTTTACAACTCCTACCAACTTTCATCAACCAGCCCAAAAAGTTTTAAACTTGTACTCATTTGCTGCATATGCAAAAGCAATTTATGTCAATCTAATAAATATTCATAATTTAAACCCCAAGACGAATTTGTAAAAGAAAAAAGCAGAAAGTAGAACAAGAAATTACAGAAAAAGAAGATGTGCAAATTGTTTTTACATTTTGAAAAAAAAAAATAAAGAAAAAAAATTGTATGAACTGGGATTCATGGCAAGTTACAGACATTGGGTTACTTTTACAAGACATGTAAATACACCGAAACAGGAATATAGATTAAATAACATATATAAATTAAACATTTTATTTCATTATGAACCTAATAAAGCAACCATGCACTGCCTAACCAAATTTGCATAATTTTCCTGCTGTTCTAGTATGAGTGTGGTTTTAAATTACAAGGTAGTACATATTAGTAAATAGACAGAGAGGTGGGGTGCCTGGTGTTGAAGATTTTAACCGAAATACTTGAGGATAAATTTATCTAATTCTCTTGACATGGGAATGAAATGGGAGATGTTGTGACCAGTGAAAGTAGGGTTAACCTACGACTTTTTTGTACCTTTACTTTGGTGGAGCAATTGTAATATTCAATTCCAACTTATAAGACTGTAAATTATAAAAACAAGCAAAAGTATTATTTAGTTGTCAATACTTGACTTAAAACTGCCATTTGTTTACCAATCACACAATTTATAAAAAGCAAAACTACATCTAGATGAAATAACTAAGAAATCTGGGAGGGCATTAACAAAAAAAAGTTTAATAGAGTTAATGTTGGGTCACAAATCTCCATTTAAAAAAATAGTGCATGTGGACAAAATAAAAGTCAAAACATAAAAAGCAAACGATGATGATGTGATTTTATAATGAAAGGCACTGTGACTAATTCCATGTTGTTAGATCCTTCATATTAATTTTTCAGAAAAGAGATTTGCAAGCTCTATAATTTTTCAGCACTTGTGAATTATTCTTTACCTTTTTCTCTGGTTTTGTACTAGATTTTGCATTTTTATCTTTCATAGAATTCTGGGGTGCCTTATTCATGATGTAAGAAAAGAAGCATTTCATTAGAAAATTCATCTTTTGTTGAAAATGAAAATGATTAAAAACTGAACATGATATTGAAAAGAGCATGATAAATGACTGCAACAACAATGAAAAGCTATGAAATTAAAAATATATGAAAAATGAAAGAGACCCTACATGAACACAAAATGATCATGAGCAAGTCAATAAGTCATAAGTTTCCTCATTAGTCTCCTTCTGACATACTTTAAATTCATAAGATAACCGATAAAGGATTGAAGTCAAAAGAGTGACGTTGTTTGCTTTAATGCAGTGGACACAGTAATAAAGATGGCAAAACTAGAAAGTGTGTCAAGGTATAATTTTATTAACATTGCAACAGACATAAATCAAGTAACTAGTGGTTCATAAATAAACCTTTTTTTCCCCTTAATGACTTGTGCGCAGTCTCCAAGATGGGCATTTACTGCCTTTGAATTGTCCAACAAAAGCTAATCTAATTTTTCAAAGCATGAACCTAGATCCTGGATAAAATATTAGTGTGCATGATTGATGGCCAAAACCACAATGCTGTATGCTTTAGACAGAACAAAATGTGTACAGGATTTGCATGATATCTCATTGAATGCATGATTTGCACGATACCTCAATGAATGGATCTGCATGAAATGAAATTTCAATGAATGCATGATTTCCCAGAAAACCCAATGAATGCATGATTTGGATCACAACCCAATGAATGCATGATTTGGATCACAACCCATGAATGCATGATTTGGATCACAACCCAATGAAAGCATGATCTGGATCACAACCCAATGAATGCATGATTTGGATCACAACCCATGAATGCATGATTTGCATGAAATCTCAATGAAAGCATGATTTACAAGACAAACCAATGAATACATGATGTGCATGACAAGGTCACTGAAAGCATGATGTGCATGACAAGGTCACTGAAAGCATAATTTGCATGATAAAATCAATAAATTCGTGATCTGTATAACAGTCTAATGAAAACATGATTTTCATAACAACCCAATGAAAGCATGACTGACATTATGTCCATGAGATGATAGAATGGCAATGAATTATAAACCACACACACTACACACACCCACTTACCTTTGGTGTCCTCTGACTTTTGATCTTTTCATCCTGTAAAATGAAGCAATAGCTGGTGTTATCAAACAGTATTCTCAATATTCAAGTCTCAAAAGCAGATTTAAAAATATATCTTTCAAAAAAAATTGACCAGTCTTTATGCTTCCATGAATATGTTACTAAAGCTGAGGCAAATCTATAGCATGTATAAATAACATTGATTACAGAAAAGTCCTTCTTTCAGCATGCATGAACATATTTTTGTCAAGCCTGCATGTCCCCACATTTTGTTAATTACTCCAAAACAATCCATATTAACTTATAACCCACATATCTTATTGCTGGTTAACTTGGTCATTTGATGTTACTGAGAACTGTCATGTCTTACTTAAGTTGGCCCACAGTAGGTAAAGTTAATCTGTCACATTCACTTTCATGATTGTTTATTTACTGGAAAAAATGATTTTTGAAAGAAGGACTTTCATTGCATATTGGCAAATAAAATACACATATTGTACTCTGCTAAGAATATACAATCATAAGCACAAACATTTTTACATATGCAGATGTAATACAGTGCACATACACCATGTACAAGGAGAATGATGTTATAAAAGAGACAAGCAGTTAGAATGAAATGAAAATGAAGAATGACATTTTAAAACACAGACAAGATCAATTCTGTCCTGCGCAATATGACTAGCTTTCCTATACACTCAGTTATCTATGGATCACATTATTATGACATTAAGAACAAGACAGTTCTTTTGTCATTGCCTATCTAACCTCATCATCATCATTGTCATAATCATCATATTCATCTCCTTGGTTGCCCTCATCTGACTGCCTGCGACTTAATGTAATTTCACTTGGAACCTTGGCTGTGTTTTCTTCTTCAAACAGGAGTTCATCCTATGCATGGTGAGAATGAATGAAGCATGAAGCACACAGAGGTTAAAGACACTACAAAGTGTGAAAAACAGATCTACGACTAGTTGTGCATGGATAGACATAACAAGTACATACACCCAACAGACCTCATATACAGTCAAGACCCATAGTCACCATTAGATATATAAAAGGGGAGGTTATTTTCGCTATAATACCATATAAGGTTCACCCTTTCTAATTAAAATTCAGTGTTGTGCTTGAAGAATTGTCTTTCGTTTCTATATATAAATTGAAATATTTGGTATGTTGCCAAACAGGTCTTTTAGTTTAAACTGGCAGAGTTCCTAGTTTTCATTCAATATTAAAATTTACATAACTCCCCCACTACCCAAATGATTACTAACTGCCTTTCCACAAAGTTTTCGACGGGAAACATACAGCAATAATCAAATGGTGCACCAAAGACTATTGCAGATATGAGACAATAGGATCTATCGAGTTTCTATTCATATAAATATAAACTAGATATATGTTCTACACCAAAAGCAGAACTGTTAATTGCACTTAACCTTGTTATAATGTTTCAAAAAATTTCACTTCATGCTTTTTTAGTCTTTAAGCATTGGTTAATTTGCAGATATATATTGTAAAAATAGAACTTCAGTCAGTACAGATGTACTGTGATTAATGGGGGATGAGCCCCTGGGTCTGGGATACCTTCACCTCCTCCGCAGGGACCTGATCTATGGGGAGGTCTGTCCGTGTATCTTTTGTCTCCCCTACCTCCTTAGCTCCCTTTGTGTGTTTGTTTGTGTCCTTAGCCTTAAAGACACCACCATCATCTGAAGAAAAAAAACGCATAGGTGATTTGAATCATATATACATTCATCATCAGTTTAATTCTTTATCATTCAGTGTATAAATTTCTCCAAAAAAGTACTACTACAGTATAATATTGCTTTTCAAGCAGTAACAAGATGATCTTATAAATAATACTGTATGTGTACTTAAAAAAGCGGGCTTCATATTTTAGCGCTTTGGCGCGGACAACGATGCACTAATTCATGAATATCGCTATAAGGTTTCATTTACTAATACAATACATGGCACGGACATGTGTAGCGCTAATTCATGATTACGCCAACAACTACATACCCCTTGATTGCGCTAAATTTTGAATACGCCAATTTATGTACACGTACAGTATGACATGGAAAAATAATTGAAAGAAATTATGCAAATAATTTGTGCTTGTTCCGAAAGATTGGACAACATTGTGGACTCTATTATAAGTGTTAACCTCTGACCTCTATCATAGTCGGTCTGCTTAGGTTTCTTCTCTGGGGTACGTTTGTGCTTCTGTGGCTTCGTGTGAATTGCACCATTTGCTTGATTGGGTTTCCTTCTGTTTTCATATGAAGTAAAAAAAAACCTCCAATACTATCTTTTCAAGACTTGATAGGTTCAATAAAAAGTCATACTCATTTATGATCATTTTTTCACTTTTTGATGGTGTATTGAAACATAATTGTTAATATGTATATACAGTGTAGTAAATACCAGCAGAAAAAAACACATATTTTTTCAAGATTGACAAGGTACCTTGTCTTGCTACATAAAAGAATAGTTTCAGTTTTATTTTTGTTTCCTGCAGATCTTTAGCATTTGTTTTGTAAGACACATCTACTCAGTAGCATGAGAATTTTGTGAACTGGACAGGCAAGATTGCAATTACAACCTTGAATGCATAAAAACGCTCATAAGATAGACTAGAAGTAATTAACAAAACTGCAGTTATAGCTACATCTCCCAGAATGCCTAACCCAAACAAAGAGTCCAAACCTTCCAGCATAAAAGAAGAGATGCTAGCATGCAAACACACTAGCAACATAAATTCCTCATTAAGTTTGCTATATATATTAACAGGACATAATAAATTCAAGATACAACAATTGAATGTTAACTGATGGTTTGCTATGACATTTGACTCTAAGCTATGTGGTAGCTAGCTTGGTCAGGAATGTGACAGTATACATTTACCTATATTCTGGGTTGGATGCTACTGAGTTGTCCGGGGAGCCTTTGTAGTTTTTGGAACCAATGGGAGGGAGAGTTCTGTAATAAATATAACAAACTTCACTTTACATGATGATTCAGGGATTCCCTTCCAATCAAACATCAATGTCAAACATTTTAAAGACACTGGTATACATGTGTTAAGTAGGGTTATAAACAAAGACTTTTTATGGTGATTATCTTTGCACAGTCATTCATTTCAACAAAATATCAACACAAAGCCAAAAGGAATACACAGTGTTAAACAATAAATGCTATCATCTGGAAGAATAAGCATTTTGTACAGTTCAAAGAAGCAATAACCAAATAACTTCTGACCAATTTGTTCAAAGCTTTAAATTCTGACAGTAGTTCAATGTCAAAAGATATATTCTGTCACATAGGTATTCAGAATATTGAGAAGTACAACAAACTGATAATTTTGTCCTTTTTTCTTAATTATAGTTATGACATCCCCTATACTCCGCTTGATAATTAAATAATCATAGAATATTTAATTCATTTAAATAAATTAAGAGATTTGTTCAAAATAAGTAAAGGCAATTTTGAGATTGCATTTAGAGACAGTTAAAATGACATGTTCTCTTGGTAGGATACAGTAACTAGGATTGGTTGTCCTTGGAGGCAACATACAAATAGAAATGTAATGATCAAATTTAAAGGTATTTTATCTACTTTCTTCTAATCTATGATCATCTACTGTTATCTTAAAATACACTTTCTCATTACTAATTATCCTTAAAAAATCATTTTTTTTTTCAAAGACATACACATTTCCCTTTTCTACACCAATTTTGATGAAGTAATGCTTTCAATTTTTAAAATTCCTTTAAAATAGTTCATTTTTAAACACTAGAGGTATTTCAGCTTAATTTTTATAGCAAGGAAATATATAAGTATACACATATTACAGGTCAAATACGACAGAACATGTTGTTTAGTTCAACGTCATGTTTGTTAGGAAATGAATAATGAAGAATGCAGCATTGTTATGTGGTAGTCATGCAGAGAATGGGTAAAACTGATACTGTTAGATAATGATAATAATGAAGTGTTAGCCATGATATACCTTAAAGTATGAAATTCACTGAAAATGAACAAAACAGTAAAACAATGATAAATGCATGCTCAAATTTATCTGGTATTATACTCAAAGTACACTTTAGTACTGGGTTTAAATTGTCAGACAAAAAAAAGCTAAATGTTTAATAATACATTCAATAAATATATAATGCCCCTCACCCACCATATAATACAAGACTACAAATACTTTCCATATATATATTTACATGATATATATAATTGTTTATTCATGGTAAGGTTATACATATCCCCTAGACCTTGTGAAACTTAATACAGTGCTATGCATAATAAAGCAAGCTGATATAAATTTTGCACAGCATGATGGGAATTTTGTCCTGACTGATTAACTTAACTTACTTATTCAAAATCCCAGGATTAAATCAATGATCCATGTAACCGAGATGCATGCAACATATTTAATTCCTTTATATTTATTGCATTAACATCCCAATTGCCCTGACTATATAAAAAGTATTAGAACATTTACCTGCATGCACTTCCAATATTTAAAATTTAAAGAGATGTTGAAAATGAATGAAGAATGAAACTTGCGTAGTTTTTTAATACGTGTATATTTTTTAAAATCACATTTTACCGTTCCTAAATTTAAAGTTCAAAACAACTGTTGAGGAAAAAAACCCACCCTATCCAACCCCCACCCCTAAAAAAAAAACAAAAAACAAAAAAAACAACAACAATTTTTTTAAAAAGAGAACAAAAAATGTGTGATGTTAAGAAGATATCACAAAGCTACAATGAAAATGAAATGGAGAAAATGAACTGAGAATTATACAATATGAATTGTTTTAAAATGAGATGAAAATTAGAAAAAAACAAAGCATGCTGTTTTTTTGCTGATAATACAAAAAAAGGTAATATTACAGTATATATATGGTCACCCCTTTGTTATATGGTGACCATATAAACATTAGAAAAGGGAAAGTGGGAAAGGCGTGCATGTATAAAACAAAAATTCACTGCAGGAATTTTACCTAGGCCGCTTGTTTTCCCGAGAACCATTCACATTTGAGCTAGAACAAAAGTTTGATCAAATACAAAATATTATACTATACTCCTATTCATCTCAAAACTTGAAAGTCCAATTTAAATTCATTTTTGTTATCAATTGCAAAAAAATCACTTCAAATCAAGTGCAAATCTAGCAGTACAAATATAAATGCAATAGGAAGGACTCAGACAGAGAAACATGATTCTGAATAGACATGCTGACAGAAAATAAAATATTTTTATGAACATAATTCAGTACCTACAACTAGATAGAAAAGGGGGTATTTTTAAATTCCTAATGATAGCAGGATATACATTTCAAAACAAAATAATAAAAACATGCAATTGACTTTACATTAACTAAAGATTCTATATTGTCAGGATATGTTTTCTTTAACTATGAAGTACCATGCACTTTGACAACATACAAGATGACTGATTAGAATTGCAAATGAGAATTAGATGAAGTACACTGGTACTGAGTTGACACTCATCTCTAAGTGTTTCTATAAATCTCTTAGTGTTTTATCACTAAACTCTTGTGGTGTTTTATCACTAAACTCTTGAGGTGTTTTATCACTAATTCTTGGTGTTTTATCACTAACTCTTGAGGTGTTTTATCACTAACTCCAGTCATGTGTCAGTGCAGTAATTACAAACCTTTTATGTCTGTTTGTATAAATTTTATAATGTTATAATAGATATGATGCAAACCACCAACCAGAGTATATTATGGCACATTTGTATATTTATGTTACATTTTGTATATTTATGTTACATTTAGTATTCTGTTACATTTATGAAGTCAGATATTCTTAATATTTGTTATTTGGGCATCTCTTTCTAACAAAAGATTTAAATGAAATGCATGTAAGAAGGGAATATATTTTTTTTTATATTCATAACATTTTTTTTAAATAGCAATTTATTAGGATAGGAGTGCCTTGACTGTCACAGTACTTTGGTGAACACAGGAATGTTTCCCTTTTTTCTCTATCTCTTTTGGGGAAGCAGTACAAAACATTTAAAAGTATCATCTCTCTTTTAAATTAAGATACTATTAAAAATCTCTCTAGTTTCTTAAATTCATATAAGTATTGCTAGTGAACAAGAAATATATATAAATAAATAAAGGAAAAGAAACACTCCATGGAGCCAGTGACTTAATAATGTGACCTTTAACAATTAACTAATATAAGATTTATTAGCTTTCGTCTTGTTCTATTTCTGTGATAGAAAGAATTACTAAGCAGTCACTACATGAGAATACCATATATTTTCATGCAAAGAGTCTAATAAATCTAAACAAAATTTCTAATGCAAGGGTTTTATCTAGAATATGAATGGATTTTAATAGCTTAAAATTTATCTATATACAAATACACTCTGATCAAAAAAACTTCATTGAGCTTAGCAGATGAAATGTATACTAGCCTTTAAAAACTAACATATACAGCTAGAAAAAAATCTGATAAAATGGATGGTCAAGTAGCATATATGATGAGTATGCTATCTCACCTCTCCCAGATAAATTTAGGTCTCCTGCAACGTTCAGAAAAAATTCTCCTAAGTATGACTATTTTATTTTCATTTTGTTTTAAACATGATTTCAACCTTATGTTAGAGTAAATATTCACTACTATTAAATTTTCAGTAGATTTATGACTCCAAAACTTGAAGCATAATAACAGGTTTTAATTTCCATATTTTCATGAGGGCAAGAGGATCAAAAGATCAGTGTGCTAGTGCTAACAAATTTAAATTTGATGTCCTTGTGCAAAGTCAAGAACCACTGGTAAAATCCACCTATGACGTCACTCTTAGTTTGAGCGCTCCATTATTTTTCAGGAATAGAGAGTTCCAAATTATATTGAAAACAGAATTTGTTACGTTCATATTCTCCTTCCCGTACCTCTATCAAGGAAAGAACTTGAAAAATTTTAACAAGAAGAAAAAAAAATATGGCACCGTTGTGAATCGGACCCGGTACCTTCACCTCCGAAGTCAGGTACTCATCTCACTAAGCTATCAAATCTGTTGAATGACAGCAGATTTAAATAATTTCAGTACACTTTTTTTGCCTTACTTTCTCTATATAAATAAATACTATTAATATGTTAAATGTATATTTACAGTGTATATTATAAATGTTCTTTATTATATATTAACAAACAATAATTATAAGCATTTAAAAAGGTGGATTTTACGCAGGTTAATATACTCGTAGTGCTCCATTCCTTAAAAGCAATGGGCCTTGGTCCCTTCGGGGCCTCGGCTCCATTACTTTTAAGGAATGGAGCGCTACTCGTACATTAACCCTTACTTACTTCTGCCAAATTGTACCTTATATTATCTGAAATCATTTTCACTTTTCATCTGATTTAATTACTGTAAGGTTCTGCATCTATAAAATGACTGTACCCCCGGTGCTTAGTAGTTTTACCATGATATTGGAGAAAACAAGCTTATAACAGTTGAATAAACTTTTTCTACCCTGAAAAATACATTACTGTCTTTGTTTCTTTTTTTTTCAACTATGAGTACATCAAAGCAATATGTGACTTGAAGAAAGCAGAAAGGTGTATTAATTCAGAGCTAACACTGATCTTTTTGTCCATCAAACCTAATGAGCCTAATACATATGCATGTTTAGATGAAGAAAACTAACTAAATCATTATCTGTACCAAGCCATATTTTTCAATATAGACAGATGATTTTCAAATGTATTCTATGCAGATTTTTTCTTGGCACTTTTTCTTTTTTGTTCTGTTTTCTTTTTCAATTTTGATTAAAAATTTTTTATCAATTGATATTACATAATAAGCCATCTTATACATGTAATCTTTTAGTATCTTTACACTCAACTGTGAATAACCAAACAATAAAATGGCATACCAATAAAAAAAAAATTCCACTACAGATAAAGGCATGTCAGGCAAGAGAAAGAAATTGATATTGTCTACTCAATACAATAATATTTTGTGTGCATATTTTGAGTGCAACTGGTTGGATATGATCTATAAGCTCTATACGTACTGTAAGGGGCGCGGTGAGGGAATGACTACGAAGTTTTTCCTTCCGTCTCTGGTGTACGTCTTGTGCTTATATCTACTGGCTTTATTACAAGCGACGTATATGTGGTCCTCAATGATATCATCAGCATTTGTACAAACTAGCTCAGAATCTGTGTCCACTAAACTGTAATCAAAACCATAAGTTAGGGTCAAATCACAAACCAATTGGTTCCAAATACATACAACTTTAGGAACACTTCTGACAATAGTGAGATACATTATGCTTTTTTTTAATAATGTCTTGGTTGTTGTGTTTTTGTTTTTCTGCAGTACATTCTCTATACATTTATGGGCAAATTCATCTAAAATACAATCTAAACAGTATAATTAATGTTTAATTCTTAACCAAGAAACGTTGTCCCCACAAACCAATCATTTTTCCTAAAACCATGAAAATTTGACCCCCCCCCCAAAAAAAAAATAAAAAGACCTTACAGTTTCTTTTTCCACTTCACTCTGTGATTAACCCCCCTATCCATTTACTATTCCACTATATGACGAACCCTCCTATCCACTTATTATTCCATTCTATGATGAACCCCCTATCCACTTACTATTCCACTATATGATGAACCCTAGCTCCTATCCACTTACTATTCCATTCTATGATGAACCCCCTATCCACTTACTATTCCACTCTATGATGAACCCCCCTCTCTACTTACTATTCCACTCTGTGATGAACCCCCTATCCACTTACTTTTCCATTTGGTGATTAACCCCCTATCCACTTATTATTCCACTCGTTGACGTACCCCCCTATCCACTTACTATTCCACTCGGTGATGTACTCCCCTCTCTTCTAGGTCTTTAGCCACAGTTTCTATGATGCTTGGGAGATCATTGGCTTTCTTGGCAGGGATTAATATAACATGAGGATGATCAATTTCATCATTGTTAATAGCAACCCTGTAAAAGATGTGCAAGCTAAATTATTTATTCACAATCACTACTGATCACTTCAATCTATGTTTTCAATAAACAATCATGTTCATCCCATAAAACTCGATGAAACTGAAAAGTGCAGACTTTATAAAAGTATCATTATACTTACGTGATGCGCTTGGCTTTGCTAGCAAAAGATTGACTTTGTCTAAATCTGGCATCTTGTCGTATTTTGCTGTGAAAAACTGGTTCAATTCTATTCTGTAAGTGCCAAAAAATAAAATACATTCCAGGACTTCATTTACAGCAGAGGCCAATCTGATATTAAATATTAAAGATTGTTATGGTCAATTTTTTGCTACAGCAAAAGTAAGTCTAGACTAATACATATGAATACAGATTCATTGAGATGTGCAATATCAACAAAAATGTTCATGGTGTCAAATTGAATGTATACCAGTACATGTCTCTTAATAACTGTTTTGCAAAATCCCTTTGTTTGTGAACAAACTATGAACTCTGTCATATTTTCTTTTAGTTGCCTGAAGTGTATAGCAAAAATCATACTGTTTGCTTGTTTGTCTTGCTTGAATACCTATACAGAGAGACAGGGTGGCTCACTTTGTTCCACGAAGCTATATACCATTCTGTGTCATATGAAAATATTAATGTTTGTTTTATTGTTTTGTCTAACATTGTTTCTGTGAACTCGATCTTCACTTACCCTTTGTGAATACTCTATATATAGACTGGGTGGTTTTTGTATTTATTATAAATATTTATCAATAATACTTGCATTAGTCTACAATAGACTCACTGCAGTAAAAAAAAATATTTTCCTTCAACTTTTAGAAAAATGTTTGATTTATTGATGATTTGTCTCAGAGTTTTAAAAAACATCAAAATTAAATGTGAATGAGCTTGCCTACTGACTTAAATCAATCATGAAAGAAGGAAGGAAACATACTGCATTCATTTATGAATTCCACAACCACTACCAAATACATATTTTGTCTAACCATTTCAAACCACAACAAGAAAGGATAAGTGGACCCCCCCCCCCTTTTCCTTAAATCAAAGTGTACAGTCCCGAAATAAACTGTGTCAAATATGGACAGTTACTTTTAAAATGCATTTACATATTTCACATCATTCATCTCTCACCCCTAAAATATTACTTTTTAAGATACATGTACAGAGATGGACAACTGAATATTAAGAGATTGTTAATATTACTTGGCCTTGACATTTGACTGTTGTAAACCTTTAAAAATCCTTTATCATTTTCATTTGATGTACTTAATAATAAATGCATGTCCATAGCTATGTAGTGAAAAAGACAATTTGGTTTTGAAAATATATGTGAATCTATATATAAGGAAAGCTGATTCATTTTTTAATTGGAATTCAGTCACTATTGGATTAATGGGATTTCAAGTCTAGTCTGGCTGGAATTCTGACATTTGTTAAATTACATTCACATGCTCTTTGGTTTAATTATCAGTCAGGTAACATTTGTTAAATTACATTCGCATGCTCTTTGGTTTAATTACCAGTCAGGACTATATGGAATATAAAAGTACCAGATATATCCCTAGCAATTATAAGTAATTGCATAAAAACAGTTTTTTAAACTCTAATGCCTAATAGAAGTCTATACATTATTTAACAGTTTGGTATTAAGTCATGCTTTGCTATGTCTGTGTTATGATAGGACATGTTAAAGAACTTCCAAAAGAGTAGCCAAACATACCTTTAAACATGCTAAAATATATTTTCCAATTAAATTGTATAGCTATGTGTATGACATTGGCTGTCAATATTAAGTACATAAGGTAACATGGAATAAAGTGGTTTCAAACATTAATGTCCAAACAACTTGTTTGGTCAAAGGTATACAAAAAGTTACTTCAAAGCAGTACTTAAGCTATTTTGTGGACAACAAGAACAACACTGAATGAATGTTATAGTGGGATATATAGTGCATGGTTTTGTTTTTTCTTGTTTTTGTGGGTTTTTTTTTTTTTTGGGGGGGGGGGGGGGGGGGGCAAAAACCCATGTTCACATAATATTCTGTTGTCTTGCACATATTTCTTGGACACCTGAAACTAGACCCTGATATCTATATAACACCAGTGTATGGTTGCCAGGGACAATCCCGGAATGACAACACAAATGCACTGGAGGACAAGTAGACAGGTCCTTCATGCAACAAAGGTAAACATCACAGAAACTCTTCTGTCGAGATGTTTGCCTTGTGAAGTTTAGAATATACACCTGACATTTAAGTGTTTGCTTTCCATTGTAGCTGGAGATTGTTAGTCAATCGTTTCTCCTAATCTGAAAAACACAGATAAACCCAAAGACAAAACAGGCTTCAGAGGAGACTAGCAACCGGGAACCAGCCAAGACCTGATGCACAAACTGCACAATAAGTAGTAGCCTTTTCCATGGACAAATATTATATTTACCATTTGTATATTTAATAAATTTTTTCACTGATCTGATAAAAATAATATGTAGATCAGTACCTAGACATAATGGATGATAGATGCCCAAAATAGATAATTTCCATTAATAGTTTCCAAGATATGTATGTTTTTTTTTTTTACAATTTTCGAACAGCATTTTATTTTAATATATTTTCTCCTAATACATATAAATAATAGCATAGTTCATGTATCAAAAATAGGCAAGAGTAGCAAACAGTTCAATTAAAAACCTTTGATCTGATTTTTAGTGCCAGTCAATGCCTTTTCATATTTGACTTAAATCAACTTAAATATAAAGCTAACATTTATAAAATCTTTTCTGAAAAAAAGTTGATACTATTGGTCAGGAGAGGTCTTTTAAATCAATTTTCAAAATTAAATGTATAATTCAAGAGATAAACTTAAATGATTTTAAATCTTCTGAAGCTTTCATTATATTACCTAATGGTATCCAGTTATAGGTAACAAAAATATGCATTTCATTTTCAACAAGAGCACAAGAAAAATGTCTCCTTGCAGGAGACCTTTTATTGTTGATCTTGGGTCATCTTGATGAAGAGGATCAGATAATATATGACCAATCAGAAGATTTCTCTCTTCCTCATGTCTGGGATATACCAGTATCTTATTGTGTTATCAAGGTCTGGAATTCTTTTCAGAAAGACTTTGCAAAAATAAACTTAATCAAGTTGCCTGATACCTTTCTGCAAGTGTTTGCACTATTTTTTCTCAGTCTTTGTCTGTGTGTGTGTGTTGTAATCCCTCTTTATGTACTGTTCCAAGTGCAAAGTAATCAAAGACAAGATCAATAAGATAAGATGATTTCATTCCTATATATAAGAAAAAAACTTTCCAGTGAAGATTTTGCAATATACAGTAGTACCATGTTACAGTCCATTTGCTGTCATTACACTGTATTTGGCAACAGGACAACTAAAGCACCTACATGTTGTCAGAGAGGCTTAAGGTATTTAGCAAGAAATTCTAGAACATTGTGCCAGCCATAATCCAACTAAGTACTTCATTAATACAATAACACAAAATGGAACATTAAGGAGAAATGAAGTTGGTTTCAGAGAGCAAATAGTCAAAAAATTAAGTAATAGAACTTTTACTTTATCAACATGAACACACAATGTGAAATTGAAAAGCAAAATCTTTATTATAAACAATCGAATTCTTAATGCAATGAAAATGAATTTACCATAAAAGAACTAATCCTCGCTTACTTACAAGTCAGTACAGAAAAAAAAATCAAATGGGCAATTTAAAAAGCCTTTCAAGATAAATTATTAAAACCAACAAGAAGCTATTGCAAATGTGAATGTCAGTGTCTTTAAAGTTTGAAATGAATCTGGAAGTTAAATTAAAGCAAAACATTTCAGAGATCTTAAGTAAATAGTAATTAAAAGGGCAGTGTTCGGAATGCTCATTTTGAGCATGTCTAGGGCCATAAAAACTGATTTAATGATTTCCATAAAAAAGGAATGTTTAACTTTAGTTAACCTGTGCAGGGAACTTATATTAAACTTCAGAAAAAAATATTTAACAACAGTTAAGTGACTGTGTCCTAAATGATGTCCTTAGATACCATGAAGGGTGTGGGTGTTTAACAGGCTATAAACTGCTTTAAATGTGTCTACAAGTATACAAAACAAATTGAAACCAGTATTCTGTAGTGTAAACCAATTGTCTTCTTATTTATTTCTGTATAAGAATTAAAAATTAAAAAGCTGTAAAATAAATTTTGCCTTTTGAATGGATGGTTTAGGACTGCCTTTACTAGTGCAATTCACCCAGTACGTATATTAAAAACTGGACATAGGGACTAAAAAAATGTGAAGAATATTTAAGAGTCACACGAGACAGGACAAAGCTAGACCACAATACAAGAAAACTTTTATCAATTCCTGCTACATCACAAATTACATGAATATAGATCAAGAGTCAATTGCACTTTGTAAAATTATAGTACTAACAACATGAACAATCTACTTAAACTAAACTGTGGGTGTAGTCTTTTTTCTTAGATAATAAATTCATCACAGGTTGAAGATCAATACAAATAAATCTGCAGATGTGCTTTTTCAGATTCTTGTTTTTATCCTTGTTGATATCAAAAGGGACCCCCTAAAGCTCTGCAAAACACTTCAGCAAAAAACTTCTTTTATCACAAACAGATGACATCCTAAATCTTTATTCTTTAATTTTTCAACATGGTTAAGGTGTTTTTATGAGTGTTTCTCTAGAGAGATAGGCTGGTGAGATGTGTAAATGAGCTATTCCATTTTATAGATCTGGATAAGACAGCTATAATAGATTACCCAGCTAATCTGACCTCCCGTATCCCTCATAATCAAATTATCCCCAGCCAGTCTTTATACGGAACTATTGATTATGCATTTTATCATCTTTATCTCCAAATCTCTCATCATGACATTTAAATATGATCATTGATGAGAAACACACTAATCAATGTTTGTGACTACAAGAAGGTTTTTGCTTATTCCAGTACCCAAAGAAACACAATATGCTCATCCATAAAAGAATTCAGTAGTTACATATTAGTCTACCCACTCCTAAATTATAGTACATGTATACTTGTATGTGAAATATTCAACATGATTATACATTTCTAGCCATGGATAATAAAAGAAATTAATTAGAAATCTATTGGAATACTACCTGCATTTGTATAGAAATTGTCTAAATCAATTAACCATTCTGCAGATAACTCTTTTTTAAAAAGAAGGTTTTACTTTGATTTTTTCTCTTTGTGCATGGATGCAAAATGCATTCTTGAATGAAAATAGCTTGTACAAAGATACAAGTACACATTGACAATAAATCAATAATAAAACATTTCCTTGACAGTCTATGAACAATCAATTTTAAATAACTGTCCCAATCTTCAGCAAAGTACAATGTAGTAGAAAATCATAAATAAAAAAAATTAAACAGGGGGCACAAAAGCAATGTTCCCTGTATGAAGCCAAATTTCTGGGACATTTATTAGTAATGGGTTTCCTATTTCTACATCAGCACAACTAACAACTCCAGATATACCATAATCTAGCTTTAATCTTTGACTTTTATACTCTCAATATATCTACTCATTCATATTAACAGTAAATTACCAAATGTACATCAGGCCCACATGTACATTAAAATAAAATGTTTCAATTGATATTTGTATACCCATCCATCTGATGTAAGAGAGTCAACATGAAATTATTTTAAATTTACTTGAAAATATAGCAAGTATTTAAACTGTACTAAAATAAAATTAAGTCCAAAATTTGTCTAAGATCAAGAAGATATGACTCAGCTACTGTGAATTGAGTCGGCTCATCAGAATACATCACATTTTTGTTTTGACTTAAAATTGGGCCTTTTTATAATAAATCTGCAGTCTGTATATATTCAGTACGAAAGGTATCAGTACATGTACAGTAAATGTAGAACTTGTCAATTTTTCAGTATTTCAGAAACACACATTTTTATATCATCATAATATAAAATGTGTTACCAGCACATGTGGTTGTGTATATACTTTTTAAAAGTACAAAGCTATTTTTCATATGATGGTAAGGCATTCAATGTTTAACATATATGTGTCATAAAAAGAATTCTACTTTTAGATTATATGAACCATAATCCTATAATCCTCTAACCTGAACTCATTAAGTTCCATTTGTATGTGTATATATAAATGCCTCTACTAGTCTTATAGTCTCTAGGGTTTATTTGGTTGTGTTAGAGATGTTTGTGATTGATACTATACTGTACATAATGACCTCATCCAACTTTTTCTTATTCACATGCTTAGAAATCAATGTTACACAACACATCTTTACAAACACACTAATCACTAAAATGAGTAATGAGTAATGGTCAAAAAACACCAAAACAGCTGCATATTCATTTGGACAAAAATTTCTACGTTGATTTTTCCCAAGTATGACCTTAATATCTTACTCTAGAAGTGAGACCTTGACCTGATATAAAACAATGACCTTCACCTTTACCTAATATCTCTCTCTAATCATGGCCGTAGGAACCGGGGGGTTTTGCCGATATATAGATTACTATAGAAAACATAGCTACTACACGCATGTGCCCCCTCAATTAAAACGGCTGATGACCTTTTTTTTTTTTTTTTTATTTTTGCTTGTCAACAAGGAATTTTTGGTAGTCGATAGTGCCCCCTCAACTGAAAATGTATGGCTGTGCCCCCCCAAACTGAAATTGCTTCCTACGGGCCTGCTAATAGTTCAAAAGTAACAGACAACCTAACATTCGCTATAAGTTTAAATATCTACCAAAATCGTACTACAATTTACACACTGCTTATCACCATTATTTTATAAATACTTACATTAAAATTGGTTTTATTTATTTTGGATGGTCTTGGACTATGACCTTCTATGGCTGTGTATCTGAAAAGACAAAAAAAATGTTCAATTACTGATATCAAGAAAGTATGGGACATTTCTAATATGTCTTATGAGGGTATAGACTGCAAACATAAATGTATACATATCTGAATTAGCATCGTTGCAAGCTACGGGTTTTGTGTCCATTCTATTTCCACAAACCCGGCTTGTGGAAATAGAATGGACACAAAACCCGTGGCTTGCGATGATGCTGAATTAGTAATTATTGCCATAGTTGTTAACACATCAAATTTCTTCATATATGTCACTAAAGTGTTTTATATCCTTCAATTAAACAAAAAAATCAATAGAAATCAAAGAAATGATTGTTTATTTACTAAAGGAGAGCTGGAGTCATTACCAGCAGTTTAACACCCTTGACTAAGTTTCATTTACCGTGCTCAATAATCAGGAATCAATACAAAAATCCTATACTTTTCTTTTGGGCAATAATTCAAGAGGTTTACACAACATTTCAATTACAGTCCCTCTTTACTCCATCACTGTATACATTATTTGCCATCAATCTTGATTCAGCACACAAACATGGACACAAATTAAGATTGAGGGGGGTATCCAGGTACGTTCACAATTAACTCATCAACTATACTCAAACATGGTAGAGGTGTATCAATTCATAATCAATTTTTCTTCTAAGCAATTCAATAACAATAGAACATTATTCAAATTTACACTCTGCAGGAAACAAACATCCTGAAAAAATGTCTATAGATACTCTTGCTTCATCCATTAAGACTGCTGATTTCCAGTTAATAACACATATCAAAAGAATTCTAAAGCTATGCTCAAATGAGTAGAGTCTCATACTCTGTGAGTCTTTTAATCAAACACTGGAACACTGGAGAAAGTAAATGCTTTTTATGGGATCATGGTTGTTATATAACCACTGTTTCGGCTCAGAAGGCCGTCTTCTGAAGACAAGCTGGGACTGAGGAATGTACTTCATACAGTGCCTTATATTGTTAGTACACAGTACTTTTTATAAACATGCTTTATAAAATTCCTACATATTAACTTGTTTCATTAATAAATATTTTATAGGTTTAGTACTCTCCAAAAATCTATTATCAAAACTATCCAATCAACGATTAAATACATAAGATATCAATATCCATTATATTAATAAATTATTTATGAAACGGTCCTGAAATCTTTGTTATGACAACATTGTCATAAAAAAATGTCTCCCTGAAGAACAGAAATGTGTCATTTGTTCCTTACAGAACATTGATCAGGAAAAACTAAGAAAATACTCAGTATTTCCGTGTTAGCATATACATGTACTCTGGAGCACTTATTCAGAAAATTTACATCATTGCACTCATTATAAAAACTATACCTGCATCTCCAAGCTAATTAAACTCTTTTTAAGGCAAATGGTTATGAGCTCTATAAAAATGACCTTGCTCTTATTTGTTTTTGGTTTGTTTTTTTTTTCAACTATAAAATTCACTTTATTTGTAATTCTGGGACATAAAATTTACAATGTTGTAACAAGAGATCTAATATATAGATTTATCCATTGGTGAAATTGATTTTTTTCCATCATAAAAATTACCAAAATAAAAAACATTAGAATTAAGTCAAAATGACATCTGAATTAAAATTTGGAGGTGTAGCAGCTTTTATAATTGCTGTTTGTTCTTAAAACACCATTCTCAAGGCCATGTTGGATCGGCTGTTGGATATATACCTGTATAGAACACAGTTACATTACATACTAATATAAACAATCATATATCTAGTGCCAAACATGTCTCTGTGAACATTATATTCTGTACGTTATATGACATACTTCCACAGATCAATAACGTTGCAGGAGGTGGCCAATTAGACAAGTTTCCAGTCACAGAAGCCAAGCTAGCTTAACTTTTAAAATATGGATTGATTTTTTTGTCTTCAGCTACAAACTGAAGACCAAGACTTCAGTGCCACTATGCCAACAAGAATAAACAACTCATAATTATGAAGAAATCAGTTGAGAAGGCACTGGGATATATACAAATTTATCCTAGCAATTATTTTTAATTATTTTTTAGTTTTGGATCATGGATGTGTTCATTTCAAAATAAAAAAATAACTATTACTATTGATGAGTAAGATAATTCTATGCAATTGTCCTGGTGTGAGAAAGAAAAAACAGCAAAATCATCAATTTAACACAAATTGAAAGCAAATCTCTCAGACTTAACAAGTTCTACTTATATATCTTTTAATTTCACTGCAGTTTTAATTTTGTTGCTTAATTATACGTAACCACAAGCAATCTCAAATATCTGTACACACAAATACATAAACATGTAATACTATGTATATCAAATAGGAGAGGAGCAGGAAGAGGTCAACTGAGCAAACCTATGGTGTCAAGTTTAACTCTGTAATGAACTTATTAAATTAAATGAATGACACTTGGAATTGGTTTATCAACAAGAGAAAGCATATATAACTTATATATAGTAGATTAAATCTGAGGAAAGGACTGGAGTGAATAAAAAATACACTAAGTATTTCAATGAATACCAACAAGGTATATAGCAAACAGTGTTTGGACTCTTCCTGAAGGATATAGATCTATCAAAATGAAAAATGATTCTGATAGATGCATTGCTTCAGCTTTACGCACACAACTCATGGATTTAATTACAAAGAGGGCTCATGACCCATGTGACTGCTCAAAATGGGATGCTTACTCCTCCTAGGCACCAGATCCTCCTCTGGTGTTTCCAGATCAAGGTCCATTTTTTGCCCTCTTTGTACTGAATATATCTTCACCCTTTACATTTATAACTATTCATTTATTTTTATAACCAACCAATATCATGCTTAATAGCATGCACTGATGGAATTAAAATTACATTTGGTCAACAAACTATAATTTCAAACTTACATTCATTAGAATTGAGATATGCATTATATTCAGATCAATAATTAGTTTAAACCCCCATTTTACAAAGGGGATGGGATTCAAATCTTACATTAGAGGCGAAGTAATTTTGATACTTCTTACAGACAATTGTGAGGTTATAAGCAGACTTTAAAACCTGCAACAATTAAAATAGCATTCAGATTTGCACATCTAAATCAAATATTCCTTGGCACACTTCAAACTGCTGCTTAATTCTATCATTAGATGAGATTTTTAGGATAGGTTCCAGCCTTGTGTATTGGTATTTTGTCACAGACCAATTGCTCTCAATAGTATTTGGATCAATCCTAGAGATCTTAGCAGAGGCTTGACAATGTAGTGTTAGGCATTATAGTATTTTAACAAAACAGAGCTTTTTAAAAAATTCATCTGATAATGCAGTCTCATAATATTTTAACAGTTATCACTCAAACTAACCTATTCAGAAATGCTACATACACTTCATCTGTGACTGCATAGTAACCAAACTCTTACAACAGATATACAATGAATGTTTATGATAATGATAAAAAGAAATAAGGTAATTAAAATGAAAATTAAAAATGATCGTAGTACCTGCAAAAATTATATGGCAATTTATTGATTCAGAAATAGAATTATATATTTGCAGGGTAGTCTTGACCCAGGTTCATCATTTTTTGCATTCATGCAAATATTCATATACTGATATTTCTTGATATTTAACCTACCTACAGAAATCCTAAAAATATTAATTAATCTCTGTGTTGACAGCTAGCATTAGCATTTGAAAGATTTTTGTTGTGAAAATAGCAAGATCGTCCCAGTCCTGTCAAAGACACAGCTGGACAATTCTGATTAAGAATCATGAAGTCAATTTTCTGGTTAAATAAAAAAAAATATATTTTCTTGTTTGGACAACACTCTGTATATATTAAAATTCCATTAACACCTCAATGGGACATGAGAATATTTTTTTAAAAAGACATTTAAGCAGATGATGCACCACTGTGTGTGGTGGTTTTCTTGACAACAAAAAAATTATGCTATATATCTCTCTTAGATCCTTTGGTAAGACTGACAAAATACTTTTCATTTAATGTTACCTCTATTAGTAAGTCTACTCTTATAGATAATGTACACCAAGATACACTTACACTATTTCTCATTCAAAAATAAAGAAGTAGCATATACCTCTACTTAGTGGGAGATAGGCCTTACTTAAGAATTTCCTTACCCCATAGGAAGAAATTTTTCTTTTCCAGCAACCACATAACACTCTCCTTCCTGAAAATGTTGCAAATCGGTGATTCTAGTTCCATGTCGCGGAGTGTAAACTCGATAAACAGAACCACCCGTGTTTAATTTAACATCATTTGTTAGCTGCTCTAGAAATTTTTCAAAATTCCTGACTTTCTTTTCATTACAAGTGACCATTTTAGGTCCAAAGTTTTTGTCCCCATTTCTGCAAAACTTAAAACGTTTTGCATTTGTAACACTGCGTTCTTCGATTGATGGTAAGGAGGAATGAGTCGTGTGAGCCATTTCGTTTGATGGCAGAATCTTATCACCAAATGTCACAGAAAATTATCAACTTATTCCAGATATCAAGACATTCTGTTAACCTCTTATTGAATCTTTTTTCTGTTCTAACATTTCCAATGCTGATCAACCTCTGGTGGATTGTGGGATACAGTGTGTTTACATGGAACAACCTTTGACCCAATAATCCTTAGCAACCACGTGTTCAGAGTAAATAAAATGTAAAACATATGCCGGTAGGATTAAATAATTTCCGATATTTATAACAAAATAGTTTATCAAAAACAAGTACGTCTTAAACACAATGATTACATAATAAGTGAGAGCTGAATGGAAACATTTAATGATTTACAATCAAATCGCATTCATATTGTGATTTAAATTTCCTCAATAGAGATTCCCGACGTAAATCGACTTTTAAACACCATTGAAGAGCAGTCAATTTGTTTGCCGTTTTCCAATAAATAGAGAGAAAAAAATCCTCGCTTATTCACAAACATTGGATTTTTCAAATAAGAAAAAAATTGCAATTTACAGACCTAGCTCTATGATAATGATCTATCTTTTTATAAATGAAAAGATAATTGGCTTTAAAAAATCCCCAAGAAAACTGAGTCTATCAAGTGTATTCATAAATACTTTTATACTTATCAGTGTAATTAACGGGTCTATTTTCATTTCTTTTATGTGAATTTGAACAATGAAAGAGTGAGCTATGTTCAATATCAGTAGACACTAACTTATATATTTATTGAATATACATGTCTAAATATGGAGAGAAGTAGATTTTTAAAAGAATTTATGCATCTTCACCATATGATCACTACAATGTATATCTCTGTCTTATTTTTTTCATGATTCATGGTATTATATCTGTGATTGAACGCATAATATTAATTTTTTTTTATTTCGTTGTTGCTCGATGAAAAAGATTAAACTAAAATACTGAAAATATGCATTAATACGATGCTTAAATTTTTGGGGTTTTGTAAAAAACAAAAAACAAAAAAAAAAACTTTTCTCTCTGTTCTTTACATCTGAATATTACATTAGGCCTACACGCTACAATAAAATATAATTATTCGTAGTCTCAAGAATTGACACTGTATATCTGACATTGACGACATGGCTTTGAATATTTTTTTTTATAAATCAAATCAAATTTAAACAAGCTCTAATTACAACATTTATAAGGGACTGAATATATATATTCTAGTTGTTTATAATCGTAATTGTCTAATACTATTGGCTTAACGAGATTAATTTATCTGAAGTTTGAAAATAACTCTGAGTCAAGGTCAAACATTTTAACAACATTACCAAGTCTGAACTCCTTCCAGTCAAGGGTTCCAAAAATATTTAACTATCTCATTACCAATTGACCTTGGAGGTATGACAATAAGTTAAAATCATAACACAGGGGCAGGGGCAACATCATGTTTAAGTTTGAATCAATTTGTGTCAAAGGTCAAAAGTTATAACCAAGAGTCCAAGACACGATTTTTGTACAGTCAGACAAAAAGATGAATAGACGGACAGAAAGACTGACAGATAACTATGTCAAATTCTCCATTTGACGATATATCAGAATCAAAGAATGATCATACTACTAAAGGATGATGTGCACATGCAGTGCATGGTTTCATAATAGCCTTTTACAACTAGAACACCTTGACAACCGAAGCCTTGTTGTATATAAGTATATCCAATGTTGAAAACTAGAAAATTTAGTTTGTTCTTCTTCAAATCGGTTAATATATACATAAATACATATTCAAATAAAAAAATTATAAATTATCTCAGGTATGGGAGTGGTGGTTCTATATACGGAGGGGGGGGGGGGGGCATATATCATAAATTCATATCAGTTCCTTGGAGTTGCTAATCGAATATTGTTAGATTATTCACTTTTTAAAATCAAAAATATTAATCAAACCAAATAATTTAAACAACTGTCCAGACAAAAGCCCAAATTTTATTAAAAAATAAAAATAAATGTCAAGATGCTTAAGGTGGTTCGGTAAATTAGTAAGATAAGGATGAACGTTACCAAGGACAGATCTCGCGGGATCTCGTTGTATATGAAGACAAGGCGGTATGATTTTGTTCATAGACACCCGACTGTCATGACCCTCCTCAAAAAATGGCAAATCAATAAACTTCGTACAAAAAAATGCATCCAAGATTGAAACCGAGTAAATATAATGACAGCACTTTATTTGATTATAAATTCAATCATTCCAGTAAACGTCACTAAATTTTTCTTTTTAAATGGAAACACTCATGGGTCAAAGTATTTCACTAGTATTTTCATTGCACTGAGATTGTAACAGCCATCAATTATACCCTCCATTTCTATCTGAGTGAAGATCTCATTAGATCTGACAGTTCTGCAACCTTGAGGACATGAACAAAAGAAGAACAGAATCCCAGAAAGTGTCTTTTTAAATTTTGACGATAGGTTACTGAAATTGATCATTTGCGATTTTAAAGTACAACCGGTCGTAAAAATAACATTTTCCAATTTAAAAAAGATTTACAAGTCGATAGTTTTTTGAAATTGATTTTTTCTCACATTACAACCAAACGTAAACTAACATTCTCCAATTTAAAAATGGCCGAAAATAGACCCCTGAGTGTTTCTGGAATTCATTATTGGTTGATCAGTGGTATAATCTTGATCGGGTTCCACAAAGGCATTGTATGGCATGAAAACGGATAACCCATAGATCTGAGGCAACCCGTGTCTTTTGTTTACATACCACGTCAATTTCATTTGAAACTAACAGCGTGTAGACCACTTTGTTTTAAAAAAAAATTAAAATCAAAACTTTCAAAATATCGGCGCATATTGAATACTATTGATGTCACTGTTCATTCTGTCCAACAAAAAAAAATTCTTTCGCATGCAGTTAATGAGGCATTTTTAAATTTTATTTTATTTTATTTTTATTTTACAAATGCATAAAGCGATGTTTCCACATCAATTCTTTCTATGTAAATTATATCGTATTCAATTCGTACAGAAATTCCTCACCGCTATCAAGGAGCCGTGAAAATGACCAATATCTATATTTTTGGTGAAATGGAGTGCAAACAAAAAATATATTTCAAAAATTTAGCAACAAGACGCTCTTTTGGAACTGGCATGGCTTTTGGAAACACTCTATATAATTCACATTCCAAATTCAAAATTGAAGACCTCTCTTACTTGTCCGCCGCGAAATATAATTATTTCTACTAAATAATCAAAATAAATCGCGTCCACAATTTGCAAACAAGGGAAATATCATCAACTAATGTGTTTTTCAAAATCATCATCACTATATTGTTCTTCCCTCTCACTCTAAAACAAGTGTATCCTTCTTTTGCTCTTATGAAAATACAAATAATCAATATATGTCGAAAACTCCACCACGCGCAAAGTCTTCCTATCAGAAATTCTAAATTTATATTTCATGAGGAAAGCTTACTGCATACACAAAGAGAAGAACTTGTTCAAAGGAATAACTTTGGAACTATGCAGTAGCAGATCCCAACAGCTAACAAAACAGACTTCTTAAAGGATATAGGGGTTTAAAAATGCATAGGTAAACATCATATCCAACATGCTTTACCCCCAGAAAGATATTGGCGGTCATCTCACCTAATTCTCCTAAGATGTTCGTTGCTGTTGAGAGAATGAGATGTGACGTAAACACTCTCTGGTTTAATCTGATCATAATCCGTGATCCTGGTGCCGTGATCTGGAGTGAATAGCCGCCGGACTGCCCTCTCCTCCTTTAGATTACTCGTCAGGTAATTGAGGAACGACTCGAAAGTGGGATGTTGTCGTTGATTGATAACAACTCTTTTACCAGGAAACCAGGGATCACCATTTTTATAAACTTTGATCGGAGTTCCATGAACCAAATCTCTTTCCTCTATGGATGGATATTTTCCCCACGACATTGTTTAGAGAAAAAAAACACACTACATGTATGACAGCACTCCCCTGCAACAGTGTCTTTACTTTCTCTAAGCTTTCACTGGTGGATTGTGGGATTGAACAGAGACGTCGTCGTCATGACAACACATAGAAGTTCCAATGAGCTAAGAATTCAGAATGGATTTTTAAATCGTCCAAATTATAAATCTCTTAAATTAATTTGATTTGCATTGCAGTTTGAAAGACATTTACTCAGCAAACTCAAAAAAGGTTTTTGCATTATACGCCTTTCTTTATTGAGAACTGATATTTTTGAACATAGAAATAATATGCATGCTTAGTTATAAAAGAATTTTATGAACCATGCATCGTTATTTTACAACAAAAAAAGTTTTCAATTTTTGGAATTCATTCAAAGCTTTTACCTAGGTTTGTATGGCAGAGCCACAAAGCTTGTCGGCAAATTTTGAATACACAAAAGTTAACACACCGTCGTCACAAAAACAACAATAACTTAAGAATATACGTCCAGACCAATGATCTACGTATACATTCAGAATCGGAAATATCACTCCTCTCACTGAAAAGGGTTTTTCACAAAAAATAATTCAAAGAGAAGTTTAATATTTCACGAACCCAGATTCCGTTATCATTCAGGTGCCAAAAGCTTATCAGAAATTAAACATGTAGAAGTGTACATTGCCCAGAATTAACTTTACCAGAAGCATGATCATTCAACACAATGTACATAAACTTGTCACTAATACATGAATATAGATGTAAACTTTATTTATTCAATAAACCTCTTTAGTTTAAAGATAAGCTATACAATGTATACTTATTGAATTTCATAAATAAAATGACACTTACAGAAAGTCACTGGGACATCATGTTGAATAAATTAATGCAAGAAAAGGGGACTTTTGTATCGCATTTTACAGGCAATGAAAACATTTGAGCTTTATAATTTGCCTTTACCTCACAATTATAATGATTTTCTTTTATCAATTTTTTGTACAGTAAATCAAATGACAGAGACCAATCTAACTTCTCCCAAAAGAAAACTTCATTGAAAAAGAATTGAAAAATGCTTAAGCAAATTAATTTTCTAACGTAACGTAAACTAACGTCATTTTGACGTTACCGAAATTGACACCATCAAGGTGCGCGACTCTTAACATGTCCATAAAACTCATATGTTCGGTTTCAGTCTAACAAAATGACTGCCATCCTGACGATGCACCATTAAATAACTGCCGTTCTAAACTCTGCCTCTTACATTTGTAACATCCTTCAAGGAGAAATACGTAAAAAGAACCTAGTTGTTTATTACTTATTTGTTTAGTCGACTTATTAGACGCATTTTAGTATTCACCTTCACAAGACTGATTGTGAAGTTTTAATTTTAAAAAATCAGATTGAAATGGAACCAGCACATTCAGAATTAAGCATTTTCTTAAATACTCACTGCACCCCTAGTGTACAAAAAAGACCAACAACAAAACATATGACATACACAAAAAGTAATTAGTTCCTGGCCAAAGATGACGAAAAACACCACAGAAACTTTACATGTATTTGTTTTTCTGATTTGCTTTCATAAGAAAATTCAATTCAATCAAATCAGAAGAAAATTCAAGATGAGAAAGTTCATAGAATAGAGGCCCAGGAACCGTGTCTTTGTCCTGTTATAAAAAGTACAATCGTCTTCAGTTTCAATAACCTTTTCACTTTGCTGCAAAGATCATTATAGAAGCTCTTGTAAAAATGGAATCTTTTCATCAGTATTTATCCCACAAGGACTTTTGAAAAGAGAAGTCAACATTTGAGGGATATTAAGTGACAGCTGTACTCAGCATTTCATTGCCGAATTTCAATTATGGGAGACAAATCAAGGGGGCAGTATTCAAAAGCTAATGGCACTATTAGTAAAGTGCTCTTTGTCATTTTGGGTTATTTAATTTCTAAAAGGTGGTTTCATGCTAGATTTTTAAAATTTAATATATAGATATGAGGACTAAACATTCTTTTGAAAAAATCATGAAAGCTGCTAAATGGTTAAAGAGACTTGTCAAATAAAGGATCTTCAGTTATGTCCAAAGTTTAGCGATTTGCCCTTATCATATCGCTCTTCGTGCAAAATTTCAATCATGTAGGTATAGCAATATCACTTCAAATGGGCTGCAGAGCATAGAGGAATTACTTACCTAGCTGGTATTTTGTCTGATATTTAGACTTTTGATTACGGTTGCAAAAAGTCATAGGAATTACAGAACACAAGTTTTTTTTTAAGACGTGCTTATTTGAAGAATAAGTTTTCCTCAGACATCCCGATATCAAGTGAGTACTAAATTGTTATAGATATCGTGCAAACAAAACAAGCATATCAGGTCCAGTTTCTTCGTGAATACAAATTTTTAATCTAAAGTCAATGAGTATGAGAGCTCAATATAAAACCGATCAAGCTTCAAGAAATGCAAACATATTATGATAATAATTAAATTGGTAAAGGAATTCTTTAGATTTAACAGTTTTCGAAACTTTAAAAGCAAAAAATTGACTTTTTAAGTACATTGCAACAATATGTAGCATTTCTGGACATCGACCACGTGGCCTATAGTCAGGATCAATGTTTTAAGTTGCGCAAGTGCATACTCTACGTACGAACAATCTCTAAAACGAGTAAAGCTTTTGACAAATAAGTTGATGATACAAGGATATCAACAATCCCTTTTAAAGTCGACATTTCGCATATTCAATGGTCGATATAATGACTTTGTTAGCAAATAGGAAATCGTTAAGTCGGATGTCAACTGACGTTTTTCATACAAATTGTTAGGCCATTATTTTCAGACTAAATGATCTACGGATTTTTTCCGTTTGCCCAATCATGACGAAGAGCACACGGCGGGTGTGAGCGGTCGACAGGGGATGCTTACTCCCCCTTGGCAGCTGATCTCACCTGGATGTTTTTAAAGATCCATGTTTGCTCTGCTCCCAATTTGTATAGTTTTAATGGACTTTTGAACTTGATTAATGTTTGTTATCTTCATAATTTCATTGCAAACATATTTAGGTTTACATTACATGAAAGAAAGACCGATAATCTGTAGAGTTAGAAACAGGAGGTAGAATTAATGAGTTAAAAGACAATTAAACATAGGATTTGTAATAACTGGGTCTATAGTCAAATATCTCAACAGAAACAAAAAAAATATTGCTGAAATAGAGTCTCTGAGAACCGCTAGTATTAATTTGGCCTAGTGCCTAAAACTCATTAGAGCAGTTGACATCGCTTCTTTGTTACCCCATTAAACCTGCAATTATTATTAATTAATTGTTCGACAAGAGACTATAAAACACAAGAGCCTGGAAACCAAGACAGAACAGACCAACAAACAGAGACCACGCAGTGCCATGGTGGACTTTCATTGCTGCCACTCTTACCTTAAAGGTACAAATTTGCCGGAAGCAGCGACGTAAGCGTGGTCGTCCTGTATCTGTTCAAAGTTGTACACCTCTGTCCCCCCTTCTGGGGTGTAGATACATCTTACTGGTCGATCGAACTTCAGTTTGTTCTGCACTGTGTCTAGAAATATTTCCCAAGTTTTCAAATGATTTTCGTTCACAAGTATTCCTTTGGGTGAGAAAAATCTGTCGCCGTTTTTGTACATTTTGATTATTTTTCCGAAGGGGAGTTCTCTTTCTTCAACAGGTGGTAAATCCAGTCGCTTTTTCTCTATTGGAGGAATAGGATTCGATTTCCTCATAGTAAACCACGCTGTACCAAGTTTTGGGTCTTTTTCTCTTGATTATGGCTTTGATTCATTTAATCACAAATAATTTTATACGCAGACAAGTTAGAGCAAATCTGACGCATTGTTTGTAATCGTTTGTTGGATTCAAGATCAGATAAGAACATAACATGGGGGAGTATGGCTCACATCAAACAGCATTTGGACAAGATATTTCACAACCTCTTATGGATGAGTGGCAAAATCTCTATTTATTCATTTGTATAGATTTATAAATGGTAAGTTTATAAAAATAAGTTTTTATCTAAGAGAGTACTGAGGGTGGGTGCATTCACTGTGAAACATTCGGTTAGATTTACGGCACTTTTTTGTTTGCATCCAATGTTGCTTCACAAGCAAGCATTGCTCGGCTTTAATAACAATCGTGAAGAAGACCAATGCTTCACATGGGAGGCGCTACCCTTATCTGATGGTGCGGTGCAAACTGTATCAATTAATCAGTGAGTAAAATCTAACAGTCATTTAAAAATTAGAATTATATCTGAGGAAATGTATTCTGTCATCAAACGCAAGGTCTGAATTTAAAAAGAAGCAATAATGCAGATCATGAATGGACAATGATTACCGCAAGGTGGCAATTGCCTCGCTGAGATTCAAACGTTTGTGTCATTATCAATGCTATACCAATAAAAAAAAAAACAACTTTGTAAAAGATATGGACGGAGAGAGATTATACATGTACATAAAACGAATACTTAAATGAATTCTGTAGTGATTTCTTGGAGAATTTTGATCCCATGACCTGCCAACCTTGTAAAGGGACAGAATATGAAATGCTATAATTTTTATAACGTGCATCGTGAAGTGTTGGAACAATCAATACCGAGTTTTGCGTTGCAGAATTGATAAGAAAGATTGAAGATATTCATTGTGATTGACAATATGTACATTAAAACAAGGAGAATGGAATGTACTAATAGTCTATATTTGACCCTAAGAGATAAGAGATTCGTCACACCACTCTCGATTGTTTTATAGTGCACTAGATGTGCAGAATATTTGGTAAATTTCACTATGCAGGCATTTCTGCCATAAGATAGTATTTTAAGGAAAGGTTCCTTGAGAAAGATCTTTATTTCTTTTTCAGTATTACTGGGGTCTGAGAGATAGAGAGAGAGAAACACAGAGAGAGAGAATATCCATAGATTCCTACATAGTAGCATAAATTCCATTTTGAATTAAAAACTTTATTGGAAATTCACATCAAATTTTGTACAAGTTGACATTTTTTATTATAGACAAACTTGTTTAATTCTACCGCACAACTTTGTGGTTTTAACAAAGTTATGAATGCAAAACCAAGTTTGAAATTTGCAAAAACTGCTTTTTTACTTTAAAGTAACGTCTT